AATTAAAAAAAAAAATTTGTCCCGACGACCTATCTTCTATGCAAAAATGGCTACCGTATTCAAAAATATGCTATTTTTTTATTAAAATTCTGGGTTTTGTATTTTATTTTATTTTAAAATATCTTATTAGGGGAATACACTGACTTTCATAAATATTATATAATTTAATTGACATAGAATAAAGTCATAAAACATAAGAAATTAAACTTATTAAAATTTTTTTACTTTTTAAAGTCGAAAAAGTAATTTTTAAATTTGAGTTAGCTTTAATAAGCAATTTTATCTTGTGATAAAAGCAACGAACAGTTGCCGAATGGGTAACACCTGTGTCTTTCACGCTTAGGGTACGAGGTTCAAATCCGTTTGTAGCTTTTAATATTTTGCATTTTTTTTGAGTTGGAATAAAATTTTGAATTCATTTGATATTTATCTCATTTAGATTCAATAACTTCAATAAATATAAAGGATCTTATCACTATAGTCTCCCCTCGTGAGAAGAAATTTATATTCATGTTAATATTATTTTACTATGTGGTTCATTTTGTGGCTACGATTTATTTTGCCAACCCTCACTAGACCTACTTTTTTCAACGATACGTCAAATGATTACAATTCGTATTTAGTTTAAGTTATTATTCTTAAAAATCGAAAAAATTTTCCTTATTCAAATAAAAAGTAGCTTAACCAGTTTTTTCCATACAGACAATTAAAATCATTAATTTCTAATATTATTAAAGTATTCATTGTCGAATTAGATTTGATATGATAACAGTATTCAACTACAAAAATAAATAATTTTACTTTGTAATTTATTAATTTTTTAACTGTATTTGTGAGTGCTACTACTAGTCTCTAATATTCCAAATTTTTTTGTAACATGTTGCTATATAAATCATAAATTAAAAAAAAATTTATTTTTAGTTTCACTTGAATTTAAAGATGGATTTTTACAATTATAATCAAATTTTATAATACGCTCAATTGAGTAAATCTTTTTAGCAACTTTTTTTTTGTTGGTTTTTTTAGATATATAATCATTAAAATTAATTAAATTCTGAATATTTCCATTGTAGAATCTTTTTAAACGCCAAAAGTTAATTAGAAATGATTACTATGATTTTTATTTAAGTGATCTATTACGATAAAAATGTAAAAAAATCTAACTTTTCTGATAAATGTACTGTAAATAGTAATTATAAAATTCGCTGATTGCATATTAATCTTAACACTTTCTTTTTTTCTATTTAATAATGTCAATTTCAAACTTGCAAGTTGAGCTAAATGTTATGGTAATAAATTCATTATTTTTTTATTAAAACTTTCACTTAAAAGGACAATAAAAAGTAGGTTTAAAATGATTACTTTTAACATATTAAAAATCAAAATCAATAATAATTTGAAAACAATTAATTTTAAAAATTATAAAATATTATATAATTAAAAGAATTACTAATCTGGGTATAATTAAGGAAATAGAAGTTGATGTTGCTTTTGTAATTATCCATCAATTTTTTAGAATTAAATAATATATACAAATTTGCATCGAAGTGTTTCTTATGATAGTGATTTTAATCACTGTCAGATTAAATCTATACTGGACCCAACTATGCAACGTCCCCACTATGCCGCGACCCCACTGTGCTGGGGGTTTTTTTTTTTAAATAACCAAATCAATATCATTTTTTTTGTTTTTGTTATTTTATTGCAGCATTGTCCCAAATATTCATAATTTTCATGTCCAAATAATATCTTTGGCACATAAAAACAACAGTAAGGGCATATAGGTTAAGTTTAGGAGTAAAATATAAAAGTTTGACACGTGTTTTGCAACATTAATAAATATTTATTATTCTTTCAATTTGTTTTGCTGATTTCAAATGTGCCATTAAAATTTATCTATCATGTTTAGTTTATGAGATATTAAAATTTGTGAAATTACACATTAAAAAAAAAAACACACCATACTAAAATTATTAGCTTACTAATAGATACCATCTATACTTGTGCTAACTATGCCACGTCCCCACTGTACTACCATAAAATAATTATTTTTTTCTCAAAGTATAAAAAAGTTTAAAAATAACAAATATATTTCTCTTAAAATTATTTTTTAGTTTGCCTTAGAGTCACCCATCAATATATAATTGTTTTTGAATCATCTTAACTAAAATGAAAAATCCGGTTTAAAAGGATTAAACATTTTAACCAATGGTAACTTTAAACAAGCTTTAAGATTGCTTTTAATATTTTATAAATAGTTTAGTGGGTTATGATAAATGGATTGCCTTGTTTTAGAAAACCTTATTGTATGCATAAAATTAAATGATATTTTTGAATAATTATCATCGTTAAGTCTACTGCGAAATTAATGTTATATATAAAACATATTATTTGGGTCTTTAATATTATTCCTAATTTTATACAAGAAAAATAAAATTTTTCATAAACAAATAAATAAATCATAAGCAATATTGACTGACAATGTACTTTTAAAAATACCAAATTTGACTATTTACACAATTTTCGAAATTTAAACCTTCGTATGTTTTTTCAGTATAACTTTTTTTAATTAAAAATTAATTTTCCTTTTTTTATCTTAATTTATTTTTAAATTGTAACAATAAACTGGCATTATATATTTAATTGCCTCGAAAAGGAATTTCAAATTAAAAAGAATAGTATTGTAGTTCAATTACATAAAAATGCGACTGTTATGTAATTCACTACAACATCAAACAATATTATCTAAAATTATGTTTATGTTTAAGTTTTATGTGTGTGAGAGATTTTTCAGTTTTTGAAGACCTTTTTTGCTCATCGATTTGAAAAAATTTAAATCCCCATTGAAATATAATACCTACGCCTCTGCTAGTGAGGTAAAAACTATACGTTTGGATATGTCAGTCTTAGTTTTTGATTACATATTTAAAAACCGCAAATATGTAACCAATAAGCATTCAATATTGTTAAACGTAATTTTTTTATAATGAATTACAACACCAATTAAAAGAAAAATTATATCGTTTTCAAATGTTGTATATACATGATCCTATGTTAGGAAAAAATTAGCCGAATGCCCCCTCTGTAACCTGCCTATAAAAATAAGTTTAAAAATATAATAAAATTTTAATCGCAATAATATGATAAAATTGTAATTAATTAACGTAAAATAAAACATTGTGTATTTGTTAACCAGTGTCTTTGAAAATAAAAGTATTAAGTATTCATAAAATTAGTTATAATTTTTAATAGTGGTTAAAATTAATTTTCACACGTTGCAGTCAATATTTTTCTAAAATTTCTATTTATTTAGTACAAGTGAATAAATAAAAACCCAGCACAGGGGGGTCGCGGCACAGTGGTGACGTGGCATAGTTGGATCAAGTATAATGATATCTGACAGTGATTAAAATCACTATCAAAAAAAAACGCTTCGATGCAAATCTTTAGATAGTGTTTAATTTTAAAAAANTCGATGCAAATCTTTAGATGGTGTTTAATTTTAAAAAAATTGGTGGATTATTCCAAAAGCTACATGATCTACTAGTTCCTTATTAATATCTTGACTAAGATAAATTATGTCGAATGAAAAAGGGATTATTAAAAAATATTATTTCTCATAAAAAAATTGTGTTGATCCATACACTTTTCAATAAGTTATAGCATTATAAAGTTAAAAATATAAAAAATAAAATCGAGAATTTTCACACGAAAATAGCATTCAGTAGCTTTTTTCGCCGCGAAGACAAGTCCAGAGGTCAAATATTCTTTTTTTAAATTAAAGTATATTACATTAGCTTTAATTTAAGATATATATAAAAGTGTCAGACTTTCCGGAACATTTTCAAAAGTTAAGTTGAAAAAGGTGTCATTTTAAATCCCCCTCTGTGGGCAGATAAAGGGTCAAATTTACAAAAAAAATATATCAAATGATAGGTAAAGACATCAAGCATCTATAAAAAAAAAAATTATATTGATATGTTCATTTTTGAAAGAGTTACGGCACATTTTAATAAAAAAAATTGAAAAATTTTCGAAAATTAGCGATTTTTAAATTTGTAATTTTTTTGGAGGTTTCCCCCATTTACGGGGAACGAGGAAAAATTTTTCAATTTAAAGGGTAATGTCTTCGACTAGATACGATTTGTGATCTTTTGACGTATCGTTGAAAGAAATCGGTTCGGTGAGAGCTGAGAAAAAGTGGTAACAGACACAAAAATAAAAAACACATCATAGTAAAATTGATTCCTTCTCAGCTTCGCATCGAATATAAAATTACAGTTTTCAATAGTAACAGTCATCGTGAGTAATGGAATAGTATAAAATAACTTGCTGTTTTTAAAGTTAGAATAGGAGGTATTTTGATATATCGAAAAATACGGGTATTAAAAAATATCTAAATTAAAAAATAATTGATGTATGAATTAGTCAATTTGAAAATAGTTTAGATATAGATTTATGGACATCTAAAAGGCATCTAAAGTTTAAAATTATGTATATGTATTTAACTTTGGATAGTTATTATAAAAGCTAGATAATTATAATATCTTGCATACATTCAAAAATGCATATTATTTTTAAATATAAGAGTACATGGAGCAACTCTAAGGGAATTTTTGAAATCAATGACAACAAAATCTTTAAAAGTGTCCCTCACACTTTTGCAACTGACAACTTTTTTATGGTTGGTTAGTTTAGTCTTTTTTATTTATAATATTTAATATAAAATGTATTTTATATATTTTACAAATAAATTTTAGTGTTTAATGCTTTTGAGTGTTATATTATTTTAAATTTCATAACTGTCTGTTTTATAGCATCGTGTTTGTTAACTATAAATCTTATTAATTGGAAATGCACTGATTTATTAATAAGTAAGGTAGGTAAACACAAAAGTAATTGTATGGAGTATAAATAACGTGTAATAAGCGTTTCATATTTGGAAATTACAATAAAAGCTATAATTTACTATAGTAGAGGTTTTAAAAAGGTAAGTCGTAATTATATCTTACTGTTATATAAATTTCAAATTTTCATCAATTTTTAGCAAATTTTTAATTTATTAATTTGACTAGACAATTGTTTAAGTTAATTTGTCACATTATCGATCAATTAGTGGTGTGTCATAGATATTAAAAATATGTAAGAAGTGGTATTTTTCCAAATTCATTAGAATATTAATTTCATAGAAAGCATTACTAAAATGCTGAAGTATTTTTAATATTGATTTGAGTTATCCTTATCTTATCTTAGTTATCTCAGCTTCGCATCGAAGCTAAAAAATCTGAACACAAAATTAGCATGTTTTTAAATACGACAAAATATTGTATATAGAAGATAAGTCGTCGAGACAAAATTATTTTTCATTTATAGTATGTGACATAAGCTTTAGTTTGACATATTTAAAGGACGCCATATCTGAAAATGTTTAAAATTTTAGTTGAAAAAATTGACTTTTGTGAAAATGTTGCTATTTTAAATCCCCCTATGGTCAAGTAAAGGTTCAATTTGAAAAAAAAAATTATATCAAATTAAAGGAAAATACCTAAGGTTTCAATATAATAAATATTATGATAGTTTTAAGTACAAAAAACATCATGAGAGAAGATGATTTTTTTCGCAAATATTTTTAGCTTCGATCACAGTTTTACTAATATGTGTTTTTTTTTTTTTGTGTCTGTTATCACTTTTTTTCAGCTCTCACCGAACGGATTTCTTTCAATCATACGTCAAAAGATCACAAATCGTATCTAGTTCGAAGACATTACCCGCAAAAATTGAAAAAAATTCCCTCGTTCCCCGTAAATGAGGGAAACCTCCAATAAAATTACAAATTTAAAAATCGCTAATTTTCGAAATTTTTTCAATTTTCTGAAATCACTGTCAGATATTATTATACTTGATCAGTCAATTAATAAAAAACATATTATATTAATATTTGTAACAATAATATATTATATATAACTCAAACGAAAATTACGTGAAGTATTAAAATATAAATCATTAAAAATAAAAAAATTTTTTACTAACCACTCAGCCCTTCTGTAAATTTATTATAAAGTGGTTCCTGATTTTATTCTTTATAATTCATTACCTAGGAATTTAGCATACAAAGTGAAACACAGGAGAATAAATATAATTATTTATTAATAGCGAACACTTGAATAGTATAGTAAAAATTAATAAGCTAACATATTTTATGCATTATGGACTAAAACTTTAAGAATATTACTGAATAAAAACACAAATAAAAAAAAAATAATTTATAATGTAAAGTTAACTGCAGCCATAGATTATCAATATAAATCATTACAAAATTTATGTTGTTTTACATCATTGAATTTCTAATTAATTGAAAACGAATTTTTAATGTTTAAAATATTTAATACTGTACAAAAACACAAATAAAAAAAAAATTTCCATTTTAAAATTAAAGTTTTTGTATTGATGAAAATAATACAAAATTTACTAAACATGTTAATAAAGGAATGAATTCCCTCCCTTTCCCTTGCTTATATTTTAATATTCTTAAATATAAGAGAAAAATTATAATTATAAGTTACATCACATAAAAAGTATTCTTAATTATTATTCATATTGTTTTAGGAGTATAGAAATGAAGGTTTTCTTTGTGATATTACTTGCAGCATATGGTACGATTATTTTACGATCTAAAATATTTTTAGCTTCGATGCGAAGCTGAGAAGGTATTAATTTTACTATGATGTGTTTTTTTTTTTTTTTTTCTGTATACGCTCAATCTCGGCTCTCACTGAACCGATTTTGATGAAAAATATGTCAAAAGATCACAAATCGTATCTAGTTGAAGACATTAACCTTAAAAATTGAAAAAATTTCCCTCGTTCCCCATAAACGGGGGGAATCCCCCAAAAAATTTCAAATTTAAAAATCGCTAATTTTCGATATTTTTTCAATTTTTTTTACTTAAAATTGCCATAACTTTTTTAAAAATTACCGAATCAATATAATTTTTTTTCATAGATACCTTAGATATTCCCCTATCATTTTATATATTTTTGTTAACATTTGACCCTTGACAAGCCCACAGGAAGGGGTTTCAAAATGGTAACTTTTATACAAAAAATTAACTTTTTCAACTTAACTTTTGAAAATGTTCCGGAAATACTGACACTTTTATATATATCTTAAATTAAAGCTTATGTAATATACTTTAATTTGATAAATAAAAATTTGACCTCTGGACTTGTCTTCATGGTGAAAATGACTACCGTATGCAAAAATATGCTATTTTTGTGAAAAAATTCTTGATATTATATTTTACATTTTTTAACATTATGTTGCTATAACTTTTTAAAAAATGCATGAATCAACTTTATTCTTTAATGATAAATACTTTATATATACTTCTTTCATTCGACATACTTTTTTTTAAAATCGGACCATTTCCCTTTATACAGGGGGGGTGCAAACCTTTTAAAATGCGTATAGAAAGTAGAACTTTTTCAACTTAACTTTTGAAAATGTTCCGGAAAGACTGACACTTTTATATATATCTTAAATTAAAGCTTATGTAATATACTTTAATTTGAAAAAAAAAAATTTGACCTCTGGACTTGTCTTCGTGGTGAAAACGGACATCAAAGTTAAAGAAAAACGTACGATTTCCGTGAAAAAAATCTCGATTTTATATGTTATATTATTTAATTTATATTTTATATAACTTTTGGAAAAATGTATGGATCAATATTATTATTTTTTTATAATAAATATTTATATACCCCTTTCATCTGGCACGCTTTTTTTGTAAATCGGATCATACCCCTTTAACAAGGGGGGTCAAAACTTTAAACATGCGTATTGTTACTACGATATTTTCAATTTAATTTTTGAAAGTATTCCGGAAATACTGACACTTTTAAATATATCTTAAATTAAAGCTTATGTAATATACTTTAATGTGAAAAAAAAAAATTTGACCTCTGGATTTGTCTTCATGGTAAAAATGACTACCGTATGCAAAAATATGCTATTTTTGTGTTAAAATTCTGGGTTTTGTATTTTATTTTATTTTAAAATACCTGACAAGGGGAGTACAGATTTTCATAAATATTATATAAATNAGTTAAAATTCTGGGTTTTGTATTTTATTTTATTTTAAAATACCTGACAAGGGGAGTACAGATTTTTATAAATATTATATAAATAAAAATTTGAGATAGGATAGAAAGTTAAACTTATTTAAATTTTTTTGTTTTTTGATGTCGAGAAAATTAATTTTGAAATTTGAATTATCTTAAATAGCTAATTTTTTCAACCGACGGTAGTGACGTACGGTTGCCGAATTGGTAAAACTTATGTTTTACACGCTTAGGGTACGAGGTTCCAACCCGCGTATGGCATTGCATTTTTTGCATTTTTTCTTAATTTTATTTTAAGTTAGTATAAATTTTTAATTAGTTTGATTTTTATCTCATTTAGATTCTATAACTTCAATAAAGATCAAGGATCCCATCACTTTAGTCGCCCCTTGCAAGAAAAAATTTCTTATTTGTATTAAAATTATTTTACTATATTTTAAGTTTTATCTTCGATGTAATGCTGAGAAGATATTTTTTTGTGACAATCATTTATTTTCTCTGCTCTAACTTGACCTATTTTTTTCAACGATACGTCAAATGACTTCAATTTGTATCTAGTTGAAGATATTACTCTTAAAAATTGCAAAAAAATTCTAATTTATTAATTAAACAGTTAGTTATTCCATGTTCTCCATAAAGACAATTAAGATAATTTATTTCTAATGTTTACAAAATACTTATTGACGAATTAAGTTTGATATGATAGGTTTTAAATACAAAATTAAATCATTTTACTTTGTAATTTAATAATTTTTTTACACTATTTGTGTGTGCTACCACTACTAGACTATAATATTCCAAATTTGTTGGTAACATATTGCTATATAAATCATTTCTAAAAAAAAAATAATTGTTAGTTTCTCCTGAATTAATAATGGATTTTTACAATTATATTCAAATTATATTATACGTTCAATTGAGTAAATCTTTTTAACAATTTTGTTTTGATTGGTACATTTAGTTAAAGTAAATCATTAAAATTAATTAAGTTCTGAATATTTCAATTGCAGAATCTTTTCAAACACCAAAAATTACTAGGAAGTTATTACTATTACTTCTATTTAAGTTATCTATTACGATAAAAATGCATAAAAATATTGAGCTTTTCTGATAAATTTACAATAAATAGTAATTATAAAACTTCCTAACTGCATATTAATCTTAACGATACATTTTTTTTAATTCTCATAAAATTTTTTATTTAATGATGTCAAATTCAAACTTGCCATTTGAGCTAAAAGTTATGGTAAAATAAATGAATTTATTTTTATTATAAACATTCACAAAAATCAACTTTAAACGATTGAAAAAAGAGATTAAATATGTCATTTTCCTTGTTTTTAACATTATAATAATCAAAATCAGTATTAATTTAAAACATTTTTTTTTGTTCTTAATTATTTTTTTTTATATGTAAATACTATTTTTTAATAATATTAAAACTTAAAAGTGATAGAAAAAGTCTAATTGCACATTTGAAAACATCGCGAAAAGTTGATTTAAAAAAGTATATTTTTGCTTATGATGAAAGTTCCTTGTAGTCCAGTGCATTTATTTATAGTAACAAACAGTTTTTATTGCAAATTATTGTATCAAACCCATTAAATTTTTATACACGTAAAAGTAAACAAAATATAACTTCTTTATTATTTTAATAATTTCTCCGTTTAAATTACAATATTAAATCACTGAATATCAATTGTATACTAAATTTAATAATTATAATTAGTATTTATTCATATATTATATTTTAAAATCAAAGACCTACTAATCAGGACATAATTAAAGAAATAAGAGTTGATGTTGCTTTTGGAATAATCCACCAATTTCTCTAAATGAAAGACTATCTACAGATTTGCATCGAAGCGTTTCTTACGACAGTGATTTTAATCACTGTCAGATATCATCTATACTTGTCTCATCGATGCCTCATACACACTGTGCATCGACCCCATTGTGCTACCGTTTTTTTGGTTAATAATGGGAAGAACATCGAAAATACGTGTTTGTGATTTTTGTTCTAAAATTTTCTCAACTTATATACAGTTGTGCTTACACTAATTGTGTTTAACAGAAATTTTAGTTCCTGATAATATTTTATAAATATTAATATCTATATATTTTACAGTGGATATATCTGCAGCAGCTGGGACGTCTAATAGTAGTGAGAAAACTTACAGTATCTAAAAACTTTACTGTATACACTAAATCATTTGTTCATAATAATATGTTCAATTTCTTATAGAATAAGAATAATTAAGGATATTAAAAAAAAATAATGAATGCATGTTACAATAAATAATATTATATATCAGAGTTTGATATAATTAAATTAATTTAGATAAGTGTGTGAGTTGTAATAGTGAAGACGTTCATTTAGAAAATATGTGTTTTAATTGTTTAATGAAAGAATGTAATCCTACACAACATCCAAGTTCCGGTAAATATATAAGATAATAAATAGTTTAAGGCAATTTCTTTATTACAAATTGTATCTTTTGTATCATAATTATTCTACATACAGCTAAGCTTAAACTATTTGTGATTAACAGAAATTTTATTTTCTTATTAATAACTTATAAATTATTTATAAATAATAAAATCTATTTTTTTTACAGTGGAAACATTTGAAACACCAGAGACGTCTAACCGTAGTAAGAGAACAATAGTATTTAATGAATTTATTGATACAATGAGGGAAAGAGTATATACTTACGATATGAGATGATTGTTCTGTTTAATAATGATAAGAACGTTAAAAAAATGTTGTTGTAATTATTGTTATAAAAATGTAAAATAATTATATACAGTTGTGCTTTTATTAATTGTGTTTAATAGAAATTTTAATTCCTGATAATATTTTGTAAAAATTAAAATCTATATATTTTACAGTGGATATATCTGCAGCAGCTGGGACGTCTAATACTAGTGAGAGAACTTATAGTATCTAATATATTTACTGGCACACTGAATGATTTGTCCATAATAATACATTTTATTTCTCTTAGAATAAGAATAATTATAAATCTAAAAAAAAAACAATTGAGCGAAAATTTAGAGTGGGCGTACTACTCTGTAAAAATATATTAAATAGTTTAAGGCTATTTATTTAGTACAAACTTTAGTTTTTTTCACAATTATTATAATTATTGATTCATTTAAATTTAAAACTATAATTAAAATAATAATTTAATAGAGTTTTAATTTTAAATAAAATTAGTCTCGAAAAATCAATTTTTAATATATAATTTTATTTGTATTTTATTTTTTCTCTAATATTATTAGTGACAAAAGTTTTACTGAAAACGATAGATTCATAATAATTATGAATCCATCGTTTATATATTAATAAATAATATTATTTATTATATACAAAGACTGTAGCCTAGTTAGAGCTATAGAACATAGACTTAATTTTAAATAATCAGAGTCTAATATTATTATTTAATTAATTTAGATTTGTGTCCAAAAAGTAAGTTAGTAGATACTTTTGACGATTACCCTACGTGTTTAACTTGTTTCTCTAAAGATTTAACTAATATAGATATGTGTATAAAATGTAATGGAGCCAAAAAATATATAGATAATATGTGTGAAAATTGTGTATTTAAAGAATGTATACCTACTGGATCTTCAATTTCTGGTAAATATATAAGATAATAAACAGTATTAGGCTAGTTCTTTATTACAAATTGTACTTTTGTATCACGATTATTATACGTATAGTTGATCTTAAACTATTTATGATTAACAGAAATGTATTTTCTTACTAATAACATTTAAAATATTATTTATACATTTGTTATGAAAATATACTCATTTTATTGTAAGATAAAATTAAATTTGGAATATTAAAAAAAGCAGTCTTGTGGAAATTTAGAGAGTATGCGTATTGTGTATAAGTTTTTGGTGGATGGATATGTAAGATTGCAAATATTTAAAAGGTTGTTTTAATTAAATATTTAATTTATTTTCGTGTGTATTCTTTTACATAAAAAATATTTGTACTCGCTAAATTACATTTTCGATCGATACATATAAAGACAATTTTGATCTGATATTGTTAAACACTAAATCATGAAACTAACGTAGAAGTCAAAAAATCTTCCGGAATTCTTTACATTTCTCTTGAATAATTGACTTAGTAATAGTTAGTCAAAAATTAAAAATTACGTGATTTCCTTTTTGTAACTAACAGAAATATTTTTATATTTTCTATTTGGTGGAATATTCGATTTTTCAATGAGTAGTATGGTTTCAAATAATTGCTATAAACTAATGAATATTTTGACATTTATGGAACATGGTTAAATTATAGCCCGAAAGATTTTTATTAAGATGTGAGAAAACCCAAAAAAATCAAATCGTACGATTCTATACGATTGCAGTTATAATACGCGTTCAAAGTCACCGATTGTTACACAGATAAAACGAAAGGTGGCAAAAACTGTCGTGGTCTACATTATGTGTTTCATGGTACACAAAGTCGTGTCTAAGTAAAAAAAATATAGATATAAAAAATAGCTTTTAATTTAATTATTATGTCACTAAACAAATTATTGTATCATTTTTTAACATTTATTTTAGCTTTTTGCTTACGTTGTTCAATTTCGTTTACTCCAGAATATACAGATAATGAAAACTTGTGTCCTCAATGTAAAAATTGTAAAACAACTTCTGAAGCATAAAAGTGTTTATACAGAATTTTTATAAAAACAAAAATAAATGGTTTATGATTGTCTTGAAAATATATTAATTATAATTTTAATACATATAAATAAAATTGATTATTGTGTTATTTTTTTGTTTCTAAAGATATACTTCAACAATACAATTAATATATTTAGTTTTGAAACTGAGAAGATATTAATTTAACTATTGACACGATACCTTGTTTTTCTGTGCACATTTGCATCGAAGCTTTTTATGACAGTGTTATTCACTGCCTCTAAAATTATAATTCAGTCTACGAAAAAAAAACTTTTTTGTTGTACTTAAAAAATACTATTAATTTATTTTAAATTTGACGCAAAGCTGTGAAGGTATTCTATTTCATTTATTTAAGTTAAAATGTTTCGATAAATATATATTTTTATAAGTATGCATCTAAAACTAATTCGAATATTGCGTATTGTATTTAAACAATACCTTTACAAATCCTTATTGTTTCGTTAATACAGATATGATAAATATTTCTTTTTAGAGTGAATATTTTGGATTCGGTTTTGCTGGGATTTAGATTTAGCTTTCACTTCTTGAACCGTGTAGTGATTTCGTTTAGTGAGATTTGGAGTAGAATAAAATGACTATTCAATAACAATTGTTGATAAAAAATAAAAATTATTTTTGGTAATTTTATTTCATAGATTTGTCGATTTATCAATAATTAAGTATGTTATTAATTCATCCCTTATTAGTGCGTTAACTTAATTTGTTTTAATGATAATATACATATTAAACCATCTTATGAAAAAAAAGGTGTGTACCTTTTTTTTAAATGTCCATGAAAATCACTGTACTGATTTTGTTTATCTATGCATTAAAAGAACCCAGTTTTAATATAATTTAATCAATTCAACCAAATCTAAATACAGGAGATGTTTAATAAAGACCGTGAAAGAGATTGTAAGTAATTGTAAAACATTTTTTAGAACTCGATTTTTGAACATATTCCGTAATGTCAGACAACTGTTTACTCACTGACTGATACCGAAATCTTTAAAAGTGAACTCTCATACCTATGCAAATAACAACTTTTTTTGTTAGATTTTTTGCTTTATATACAATTTTATATTTTACAGAAAAGTTTTAGAGTATAATGAATGTCAGTGTTAAATGATTCATAATTTTTAAATTGACTATTTATGACTCCATGTTTGTTAACTATAAATCTTTTTAATTGGAAACTGGTTTTTCTGGGATTTAGGTTTAACTTCACTTCTTGAACCATGTAGTGATTTCGTTTAGTGAGATTTGGATTAGGTTAATAACAGAATTGAGAGATTCGACTTTGGTTGCGAATTTGTTGGCATTGGTATGTCATGGTAGTATAGGTAAAATAATGAAGGGCCTTTTGGAAAGTCTAGCTTTTATGAGGTTAGATTCAGATAAATCTCTTCCAAGCTGTGAAGATATTAATTTTGCTATGTGTTATTTTTCTCTTTTGTTGCTACATTTTTATAGCTCCTAATGGACTTCAATGATACGTCAAAATTAGGGCTGGGTCCATATGAAATCTGATATTAAATTCGGTCGACGATTACGACATCGGGTTTTTTTGAAATCCGATATTTACACCAATATTATAAACATTTATATTCAAATCCAATAATCAGAATGGTTTATTATTAAACTTGCAAATAATTAAATATTATCACAGATTATCTTTTTAATGAAAAAATTAAATAAAAGTTTAATAAGGTAATTCAGCAATTGTCCGAACTCCAAAAATTTGATTTTAGGATTATTTTATCTTCTTATACAGAGTGATTTTATTGATATAAGTCGCNAGTTAAATATTATCACAGATTATCTTTTTAATGAAAAAATTAAATAAAAGTTTAATAAGGTAATACAGCAATTGTCCGAACTCCAAAAATTTGATTTTAGGATTATTTTATCTTCTTATACAGAGTGATTTTATTGATATAAGTCGCCACTAGATTTTTCTTAGAATAATTGTTATGTTAGAAGGTTTATAAGCTAGTTTTCTAACTTATAAAATAGAAAATGAACTAATTTAGAAAATGACTATTCAATAACAATTTTTAAATCAGAGCTATATATATTTATAAGAGAAGATATTCACATTTTTGTATATTGGCGTTAAGAGGATTGTGGTCGAGAACTAACTAATGATGAAAATTGCATAGACCTTTAGTCTATATTTTAAAATGCTAATAACTTCCAAATTATTGACCCAAGAATCGCTATCGACTAGTCAATTTCATAGATACGACATTTATTCATCGTAGATCATTTTTTTTTGTTATAAAAATATTTCAAAACCATTATGATTTTGCCATGATATCAACTGTTTATGTTCGATAGTTATCTAATTTTACGAGACTCTACATGAATTTTCATAGATCTGAGCATTAGCGCGTAGTTAACATTTTTTTAGAACTTTTTTTTGTTAGATTTTTTTGATTATATATAATATATTTTATAGAAAATGTATAGAGTATAATTAATTTCAATGTTAAATGATTCAAATTTTAAAAATTGTCTATTTATAACTACATGTTTGTTAACTATAAATCTTTTTAATTAGAAACGCATAAATTTATTGAACAAGCAGATTAGGTAAACACAATAATAATTCTGAGTATAAATAATGTTTGATAACTGTTTCATATTTGGAAGTTACAATAAAATTTAAACTCTACTATATTGTTGTTTTAAAAAAGTAAGTCATAATAACTGTTATTACATTATTACATTTTTTTATTTTAATACCAATTGCAAATTGTCATCTATTATTTTAATTAATATTACCATTTTCGTCAGAACATGCTATCAAGCCTAACATAGCCTTAACCTAACATCTTTTATGCAATATGGAATAAAACTTTAAAAATATTATTTAATAAAAACACAAATAAAAAATATTAAAATTAATAACCTTGGTAATAAAGGAATCAATTTATTCACACTCCATTTCATATATTTTAATATGCTTAAATATATGAGAAAATTCATGTTTATAGGTTACAACACATAAAAATTATACTTAATTATTATTCATTTTCTTTTAGGAGTAATAAAATGAAGGTTTTCTGTTTGATATTACTGATTGCATATGGTAAGATTATTTTACGATTTAAAATAATTTTTTTGGTTAATATTGGGACAACATCAAATAAAACATGTTTGTTTTATTTTTAAAATTATCAGAACTTATATACAGTTGTGCTTAAACTAACTGTGTTTAACAAAAATTTTAATTCCTAATAATATTTTATAAATATTAAAATCTATAAATTTTACAGTGGAAATATCTGTAGCAGCTGGGACGTCTAAGAGTGGTGAGAGAAGTTATAGTATCTAATAAATTTACTGACACACTGAATGATTTGTCTATAATAATACATTCAATCTCTGTTAAAATAAGAATAATTATAAATAAAAAAAAAAAACAATTGAGCGAAAATCTACAGTGGGCAGGCTTCTTTCTAACATATATGGGATTTTGGTGGAACGATACATAAGGTTTTGAATTTGAAAGGTTACTTCAACTAAATTTATTTTCTTTTGTATATAATACATATAGACATTAAGTAAAAAAGTTATTTAATTTAAGTACAATAAACTTAATAGTTGCTATAATTGATAAATGAATGATAAAAATAAATGTAATATATATTTATTTTGATTTAATTTTTTCTTATATTATTAATGACAAAAATTTTACTGAAATATTATTCTTGAGATATTATAGGGTTAAACGAGACGTTTAACCGTATAATATTATTCTGAAATGATCAATTTTTAATATATAATTATTGATTCTAGAAAAATGTTCAAAATGTGGGTTGAATGAAGGTATTGTTAATTCGTCTATATGTTCTGTTTGTCTTTATTATGAAATATACGATCAACCTTCTGAAGGTAAATATAAAATATATTAATATGTTTAAGGCTACTTTTTTATTACAAACTGTTCCTTTTGTGACATAAATATTGTAATCTTTGATTAATTATAGAATTACTATTCAATAATGGATTTATGTAAAGTTTTAACGATTAAGCTCTCATTTTCTTAGGTTTCCTAACGACCTAATATACATTTTTTGTGGTTTTTGTTCTAAAATTTCCAGGACTGATATACAGTTGAGCTTAAATTAATAGTGATTAACAGAAATTTTAATTCCTGATGATATTTTATAAATATTAAAATCTTTTATTTTACAGTGGAAATATCTGCAGAAGCTGAGACGTTTAATACTAGTGAGAGAACTTATAGTATCTAATAACTTTACTGTATACACTAAATCATTTGTTCATAATAATACATTTTATTTCTCTTGAAATAAGAATAATTATAAATCTAAATGAAAAAAACAATTGAGCAAAAATTTACAGTGGGCAGGCTTCTTTGTAACATGTATGGGTTTTTGGTTAACAATACATAAGGTTATGAATATTGAAATGTTCTTCAACTAAATTTTTTTTCTCATCTATGTAATACATATAATACTTTGTAATCAAAATATTTAATTTAGGTACAATAAACTTGATAGTTGCTATAATTGATAAATGAATGATAAAAATATTTGTATTATATATTTATTTTGATTTAATTTTCCTAATATTATTAATGACAAAAATTTTACTGAAAACTATGAGATATTATTCTTAATAAATACTCATGATATTAACAATTATTAATACATGAATTATTATAATAAATAATATTGTATACATAGAGTGTAGCCTAGATAAAGCTATAGAACTTAGACTTAAGTTTAAATAATCAGAGTTTGAAATTATTTAATTAATTTAGATATGTGTTCAATATGTAATTTAGTACCTTGGGCCATTTTCCCTAAGTGTCTTAATTGTACCTTGAAGAATACAAATTCTGATGTATGAAGTCCATTTTTCTAAAGTAAATATAAAAGATATTAAATAGTTTATTTATAGGCTATTTATTTAGTAAACACTGTATGTTTCGAATAACAATTATTATAAAACTTGAAAGTTGATAAATGTAAATAAAAATAAATTTATTAGGTTGGGTTAAGGTATAGAATATAAACTTTATTTTAAATAATCAAAGTTATATATTAGCTTCGATGGGAAGCTGAGAAGGTATTGGTTTTACTATGATGTGTTTTTTTTTTGTGTCTATTACCACTTTTTCTCAGCTCTCACCGAACGGATTTCTTTTAACGATACGTCAAAAGATTACATATCGTATCTAGTCAAAGACATTATCCTCAAAAATTGAAAAAATTTCCCTCGTTTCCCGTAAATGGGATATACTTCAAAAATAAATTACAAATTTAAAAATCGCTAATACTCGACATTTTTTTCAATTTTTTTTTACTTAAAATTGCCATAACTTTTTTAAAAATATTTTTTTTTATAGATGCTTGATATCATTAGCTTTCATTTGGTATATTTTTTTTATAAATCTGACCCTTTACCAGCCCACAGGAGGGGATTTAAAATGACAACTTTTTCTCAAAAAATTAACTTTTTCAACTTAACTTTTGAAAGTGTTTCCTAAGGTCTGACACTTTTATATATATCTTAAATTAAAGATAATGTAATGTACTTTATTATGAAAAAAAAAAATCGCACTTTATTATATTTTCATGGTGAAAATGGCTTCCAAATGCATTTTTTTTGTGAAAATTCTCGATTTTATTTTTAACATTTTTTTTTTAACTTTATAATGCTCTAACTTTTTGAAAAGTGAATGGATCAACATAATTTTTTTATGAGAAATAATATTTTTTAATAATCCCTTTTTCATTCAACATACTTTATCTTAATCAGGATATTAATAAGGAACTAGCAGATCATGTAGCTTTTGAAATAATCCACCAATTTTTTAAAATTAAACACCATCTAAAGATTTGCATCGAAGCGTTTTTTTTTTTATAGTGATTTTAATCACTGTCAGATATCATTATACTTGATCCGACTAGCCACGTCACCACTGTGCCGCGACCCTTCTTTTTTTTTTAATATCTATTGCCACTTTTTCTCAGTTCTCACTAGACCGATATCTTTCAACAATACGTCAAAAGATCAAAAGTCGTACCTAGTTGAAGACATTACCCTTAAAAATTGAAAAATTTTCCCTCGTTCCCCGCGAATTGGATAAATCTCCAAAAAAATTACAAATTTACAAATCGCCAAATTTCGTCATTTTTTTCACTTTTTTTTCTTAAAATTAGCATATCTTTTTTAAAAAATAACAAATCAACCTAATTTTTTTTATATGTAATCCTTAGATATCTGCCTCTCTTTCAATATGATTTTTTTGAAAATCTAACACTTAACCTACTCACAGGTGGGGATATAAAATAACAACTTTTTTACAAAAACTAGCTTTTTAAACTTAATTTTTGAAAATGTCCCAACACTTTACCTTCTGCATGTAAACGGCTGCCGTAGTTAAAAAAACGCTATTTTTGTGTTAAAATTTTCGATTTTAAATTTTCAACTTAAAAATGCTATAACTTTTCGAAAAATGTATGTATCTGCACAATTTTTTTTCTAAATTCATTATAAGTATATCTTTCATTTTACATACTTATTATTAAAATTGGACAATTTCCACTTATATAATGGACGTTCAAAACTTGAAACATTATATAAAAAATAGAACTTTTTCAACTTAACTTTTGAAAATGTCCCGGAAATAATACGTCCTTTAAACATATATCAAATCAAAGGTTTTGTCATATATTATAAAATGAAAAAAAAAAATTTGTCCCGACACCTTATCTTCTATGTGCAAATGGCTGCCGAATTTCAACAAAAAATGTAATATTTGCGATAAAAATCACCTACTATCGTGAAATTTTTTGTACTTATAACTGCCATAACTTTTTCAAATATTAACAAATCAAAATAATATTTTTTTATATTGAAACTTTAGGTAATTTCCTTTCATTTGATATAATTTTTTTTTTAAATCTAACACTTATTATGGTAATCTAAGTCATGTCAAAGTAAAAAAGATATAGATGTAAAATATAGCTTTTAATTTAATTATGATGCCACTAAAAAATTATTGTAATATTATTTAAGATTATATTTAGCTTGCTGCTTACAATGTAATAGTTCGTTACTTCCAGATTATATAGATGAGAACAACTTGTGTGCTCCTTGTAAAAATCGGAAAACAACTTCTAAAGCGAAAAAGTTGTATTTACAGATTTTAAATCAAACCCAAAATAAATAGTTTAACATTTTTCTTTAAAATTATTAATTATAATTCTCATACATATAAAATAAAATTGATTATTGTTTTTAGCTTCGATGCGAAGCTGAGAAGGTATTAATTTTACTATGATGTGTTTTTTTATTTTTTTATTTTTTTTTTTGTGTCTGTGAACGCTCAATCTCAGTTCTCGCTGGACCGATTTTGATGAACAATATGTCAAAAGATCACAAATCGTATCTAGTCGAAGACATTACCCTCAAAAATTGAAAAAAATTCCCTCGTTCCCCGTAAACGGGGGAAATCCCCCAAAAAATTACAAATTTAAAAATCGCTAATTTTCGATATTTTTTCAATTTTTTTTACTTAAAATTGCCATAACTTTTTTAAAAATGATCGAATCAATATAATTTTTTTTTTATAGATACCTTAAATATTTACCTATCATTTTATATATTTTTGTGAACATTTGACCCTTTAACAGCCCACAGGAAGGGTTTCAAAATGGTAGCTTTTTTACAAAAAATTAACTTTTTCAACTTAACTTTTGAAAATGTTCCGGAAAGACTGACACTTTTATATATACCTTAAATTAAAGCTAATGTAATATACTTTAATTTGAAAAAAAAAAATTTGACCTCTGGACTTGTCTTCATGGTGAAAATGACTACCGTATGCAAAAATATGCTATTTTTGTGAAAAAATTCTTGATATTATATTTTACATTTTTTAACATTATGTTGCTATAACTTTTTAAAAAATGCATGAATCAACTTTATTCTTTAATGATAAATACTTTATATATACTTCTTTCATTCGACATACTTTTTTTTAAAATCGGACCATTTCCCTTTATACAGGGGGGGTGCAAACCTTTTAAAATGCGTATAGAAAGTAGAACTTTTTCAACTTAACTTTTGAAAATGTTCCGGAAAGACTGACACTTTTATATATATCTTAAATTAAAGCTTATGTAATATAATTTAATTTGAAAAAAAAAAATTTGACCTCTGGACTTGTCTTCATGGTGAAAACGGTCATCAAAGTTAAAGAAAAACGTACGATTTCCGTGAAAAAATTCTCGATTTTATATTTTATATAACTTTTGGAAAAATGTATGGATCAATATTATTATTTTTTTATAATAAATATTTATATACCCCTTTCATGTGGTACGCTTTTTTTGTAAATCGGATCATATCCCTTTAACAAGGGGTGAAAGGGGCACTGGGCTCACAAGGCCTTAACTGGTAAAAGAACAGAAACAATTTTTCTGATAAAACAATGAATGATTTATTTTTCCTATAATGAAAGATGAATGTTAATAAAAAAATATATTATAACATTAAACTATACATAATCTTAACAGTTAGTAAACATTTAACAACATTTATATTTAATTTCTCAAGGAATATATTAAATGACTTAAATCTCAATTCACACAAAGTATAAATGTATATAAATTTAGATATAGATATAATATATTATTATAACTTGCCAATAGAAAAGAACTAGTTATTTACATCAATAAATACTTATACATAAGTGGCTGAGGAACACATTAAATGTGTTATTAAATTAAATAAAAGTAGTCAAACCATAAATTTTATGGTTTGACTTCTTTTATTTAATTTAGCAATTTTTACTTGAGATGATGTTGTTGTGAGGCACACACATTCCGACATAAATGAGCAACCACAATTGGCCG